TTAAACGATTTTTCGTAAAAATGTACAAATAAAAGTCCTTCTGTATTCTTCATTGTATTATAAAGCTTTCTTTTTTCTTTCTCTTTAAAATCTTGCGTCGATAAAATTTCCATCATCAATTCACGTTTCCCTATATTAGTTGTTAATATTAATTAATATATACATGTTTCTTCGTACTAATTATTAATTATATTAATTTAATATATTAGTTATTAATATTAATAATTAAATTTAAGTTTAAATCATTTTATTAGGATTTTATTTATATTCATTATTCAAAGAAAGCCATTTGAATTAAAAGAGAAAATTAAAATTCCATTTTTTTGAAACCTTAATTTGTTCTTTATTTATCAATAAATGCATATTAAATTATTTAATATTTGGTAACATCTGATTTTGTACGAATTAATTAAATTAACATAGTAAATAATAATATCAACAAATAATATTTAAGATAATTTCAAGTATCCCGTTAAAGTTATATAAATTAAGACTAATAAGAGAGATTACTATGAAATATTTGTTAATAATTCATATATGCAATATCGATGTAGGTATTTTAACACGTTTATTGTTCAGGTCTTGAGCATAAATAAGTAAACAACAAATATAAATTATAATATAAATAAATATAATTTTTTAAATTACATTATTTTTATATTAGTTTCATATTTTTTGAATAAAACGTTAATTGTATAAAATCATTAAATTCAATCAAATAAACATTGATTGTATTCATACATTAAGAAACGGAAAAAATGGTAATATTGTGCAATGGTAATATTACGTATGGAACAATGAACATGTTAATTAATTTATAATGTGTAAAAATATACAGACTGTATAAAATGTATAAAAAGTTAATCCATATATGTCAAAAAATTTAGTTTTTACATTAATTTAATATTATTTTTAGTATTCTTTTAGTATTATATTTAATATTAGCTTTAGTATTTAGCATTTAATTTGGTATTATATCTAGTATTCAATATTAATTTAATTTTGCAAAATCTATCGTATAAAAGAACAGTATAGACACAAGAATATTGTCTTTCATGTGATAGATTTTACAAAATTAAAGTTAAAATATTTTTTCAAATGAACAGCTTTTCGATACATGCATATGGACTCTGGATTGAATGAAACAAGTACTATACAATTTAAGAAAACGTATCTCATCTTTCTATAATCTCTACATACCCATTCACGAAAAGATTAATTACCACCAAACCGTTCACTTCCTACTTGAGTCATTATTTTATATAACGGATATGCAATTCGCATTTATAAAATTGGACATCCTGTGTCATATGCAAAACTGTATAAAATGTCCAAAGTAGAATACTTGTTATAATATTTCAGTGAATGAAGCAAATTTCTATTTAATCTCTATTTCTTAATCTGTATTTACAAAAATATAAAGTTGAATAAAATCTGCACTACAGTTCATAGTACCATCCTTGGTTGTACCTTCAGTATCTACTGGGATGTATAGTACATAAAACATTTTCTCTAAGGTCTGCATATTTAGCAATATTCATAAAAATTTTAAAACATATAAAATATTTTATATAGAACAAAGTTATTTTTCTAGAAATATTTTATATTTGCAATACTATTTGTTGCTTGATTGATTATTATAATAGGAACTTATAATAGTTTGCAAGATCAGTAATTATTATTACAGCTTTCTGCTTACAAAATACTGAAGATAGATTAACGCATTCATGTAAATATGTATATAAATAGGAGGATTGAAAAGATGTATATAAATAGGAAGAATTGAAGAAGGCTACGTGCTAGTCACAGTAGAGGGAAAAGTGTTTCTGTGTTGATTATGTCAAGCATTTTAACGCCACTTACACTTTGAACAAGAGCGATTACTTTTCTTCATTATTTAACTATTTAACATATCTCTGTGATATGTTTAGTATCTTTCTTATTATTTTCGAATATGCATAAATAATCTTTATGTAATAAGTCATCAAAATGTAATAGATACAGTAGTGAACAAAGTTTACAATAACGACATTATGAGTATTGGTATATTTTTATACTGAATATTGGTATATTTTTCATGAGGTCTTTTTCTTAATATGGTGAAAATTAATTGATTGATTGAAATTAATATGGTGAAAATTGGTGAATTCATTTTCTTCATGGATTAAATAATTAATTAAATTAAGTAATTTACATTTTTACAATTAAATAATTTATATAATAATTTATATATATATATTATATGTAAGTAAATAATTAAATTAAAATTTATTATTTATTTC